GCTTCCCTCTGCTCTGCCTGTGCTTCTGAGGACAATTAACACTGCGTGGCCAAGACCCTTTCATTGTATCCTCACCATTGAGCAAACTATGGAAGAAAAAGAGACGCGACGCGGTCAACTGGTAGCAAGATTTGTCCTAATGAAATACAGAATTTCAAAATGAAGGCTGAAAACTACTTTTCTCAGAATTTTAACATGAATCGACTCAAACTAACTTCAGCTATTAAATCTGCTTTGCTTGAGATGCTCAGTTGGGTCTGACGGGTTCCATGTCCATTCCCATGAAAAACATCCTACCCACTCTCCCTTTAGCAGTCTTTGCTTTTGCCTTGGTGTTAGCGTATTTTTCCTTTGGCAGGACATAAAGGTGATGGGGAAGGGAGTACAAGAGAAGAGTTAGGCCAGCATTGCGGGCTGAGGCTTCCAAATCTCTCCGTTCGGATGTAGGTATGCTTTGCATCAAATTATTGGGTGGCGGAAAAGATTCCACCATGAAATTGTTAAGGGTGAGTGGTTATTTCCAAGCCCTGCCAAGAACAAAGGAAATATTTCATGAATCCAAATTTTGATACTATGTTTAGACTTGATGGTGCAAAACCTCAACTGAGGGGTACCCTGGGGCTCAACTTGCCTTTTATATTTTTTTGTCCTTCTCTGCCTTTCTTCTGATGAAGCTCCAGCATTATCATTGTTTTCTGAACTACTTTTTTTTTTAAAAAAGCCACAGAATGAAACAATGTTTCATAATGTTATGCTTTAGAAAGATTTCTAGGTAGAAGAATTCCAGAGCTGTAAAATTAAACCTATCTAAGCCATAAGAAAATCATTTGTACAAAACAGTAAATAAACTACTAATTCATAGTGATTACTAAATATTGATCCCAGTGCAGCCTCAACTGAATGAGCCGAACCTAAGTCCCTGCAAGCAAATTTTCCTGAATTCCAAGCAGGAAGGCTTAGGCCACAGGAATCCTAGGTCAAAAAGGACTATTTTATGACACAATGATTCTCTCTGTATTTATGCATGTAGGAGACATGCTGGGACATCCCAATAAATAACATTTTCTTCAGTAACCAATTAAAATATTAAACTGTCTTGATATTAGCAACACTATTTCAACTAGATACAACAGTATTTTCTTGAACTCACATAATTTTTCCCTTCTGAAAATGTAAGTAAAATATCTGCATTTGGTAGGTAGCATTTTAATATTTTAGCACTTGAACAGTCAGATTAATACTGAATGCTATTATTAAGCTATACATCAATTGGTAAAGTCTTATAATAATCAATACTTTATTTAAAACAGAACCAAGGAAACCAAATCTAAGAAATTATCCTGGGTTTTTATATCCAGAAAGTTTGTGGACAGAGACTCATGTTTCATATATTTGATGCACATTCTTTACCAAATTAAAATTAAGTGCATCTCACAAAGAAACCATTTTGTAATTTTGAAACAGGCATATTTTTCTCTCTTTAAATGCTGGATCTGGCAACGCTTCTCCACCCAAAGAGAAAACTGGCTAGCGATTCTATCATCTGAATCCTTTACCTCTTGTGGGAGGCTCAGCCCCACACAAAAATTACATTTTTTTTTTTATCAGAGGAGCCAAAGATTAGCAGGTGGCTTTTCCTTCCTTTTCTTTTATGCAATACAAATATCATCACGCTTATTCCCTGTGAAGTATAAAGAAGTTCAGCTGGTTAAAATTAATAGCTAGTCCCTCCGGCTAGCAAATTTCACTAATTTAAGATTTAAGGCAATCAGGAAAATCTCCACTATGTAATCTTAGAAGTACATAATGCTGCAGGAGAATGACAGGTATATTTCAGCAAAAGTGAGCCTGGATGCAATTAGAGGGAACCAGTTTCCCCTCCGCCGCCCAGCGCCTGTCCTTTCTGCCATGTCTCTGTTGAATATTCCCCAAGGCTTCGTTTCAGGGACCTGCCATTACAAAGTCAGGCCAGGGTGCCCTCTCATCTTTAACCCCAAACCACAGTCTAGGTGATAAGATATTGACTAGCACTTGGCTGCTCAGGCGGATTTTTGACATTCCAATTCTGAAGGGCCTTATGTCCAAATTAATGCTTAATTTAAAAAGATGAAAAGTAAGCCCGGTTCCTTCTTTCTGCTTTGCTGTTCACAGGAATCTTCTTAGAAGACTCTGGTCTTCCTATCTTAAACATAAATCTAGGCTGCGTAGACCTAGAAAAGAAAATTCTTAATGTCCAAATAATGATGGTGCACAGTCCCCCCCCCCGTTAGAGAAGCAAAGAATAGCTCCCTATTTCACAATCCAACAAATGCAGGCCAAAAGACCCACACTGTGCTTCTGCCTAAACACGGGCCCAGGGCGACTGAGGCAACCCACCCTCAGGGAGATACTCAATGGGCCCCACAATATGAGGAAACTGCAGCAAGAATTGTCAATGAAGATTCTCAGTCATCCAGATGGAGTTGACAAAACAACACTTTCTTTACGAAAATGTTTGTCATATGTGCAACTGCAAATTCCTCTGTGATAAGGCTGTGTTGCTCACTATTTGTATCTGTAACATGGCCGGTCTTCAGACACAATCCTCTAAAGACATTCAAGAAAAGCAGGCCAGATCCTCAGGCCAGAGGATCAAATGGTGCCGCTACAGCAACAGACGCACATCCCTCTAACAGGTACAACAGATTTCCAATCCACTTTTGATGCCAGAAAGCAATCTCCATGCTTTCCCCATCCTTTCAATTTCAACCAGGGGTGTTTCAAAACCGGCCCTTCAAGACTGCCTTCTCACAACCCATCAGCAGAGCCCGTGGAGACGGGAAACCCTGTCCTTCTGCCCAGATTAACATTTCATGTGGAAGCGGTTGTTCCGTGAATGTTCATGTTCACACCATCCCATGGGGCAATTTCTTGCACTGACAGATTTATGAGTACTATGACAGGCAGCCAAACCAGCAAACAGTAGCTAAGCATCCTGGAACAGCCTGAGAAGGAGAATAGAAGCCGAACCAAATCCGTTCACCTTTTGCATTACAGCCACCAAAGGCATTTGCTGCTGCTGCTGCTGCTGCTGCTGCAGGTTGCGGGAGGTTGCTACAGAGCATCACCCTGGGGACTCCTTGCCCCAGGATGCACCCCCTCAAAAGACAGAGACCCAGGGAGGGAAGGCCCAGGAAGCCAAGCTCTTGCCTACCTGTGAGAGGGGGAAGAGGGTGCCCATCGGCAATCCTCTCTCTGCAACAGCTGAGGCACCCACCGTCTTTCAGCTAGCCCTGATTTCAAAGCCAAGGTGCTGGAATACAGCTCAAGACAGACCCAGGAGCCACTTCGCTGGAGCCTTGCTTTGAGCCTCAAAATAAAACCATGTCCAAAAGTCATGCACGCAGCACTATGCATGGAAATTCTGCCAAAAAAAATTCTATAACAGTGCGGGTCTTGGCACATTTATCTAGAAAGTAACTCTTGCTTTGTTTCTTATCGCAGAGCAGGGAAGCCCATGAAACATATCTCCCTAGGTTCTCTGTCCCTCGTGGAGGAAATGAAAGAGAGGGAGGGATCTCCGGAACAACTCTGGAATCGCCCCATGGAATCCTCCATAGGAAAGAGGATCGCCTGGATGGGCTCGAATCAGGTCACAGCTCCTGCATCCCACATGTTGTTCAACATCAGAAATAGCTTACTGACCAATTTCAAAAAGTTACCTAAAAGGACAGCATAATATATAATTGAGCAGAATAAGTCAAATAAAAAAATAGGCAAAGATTTCCTTTTTCCCTTCCCAACCCTCACCCTTTTGATGACCTTGGACAAAATACCAGCATTAAGGCTGCATCACTTTTCTCCCATTTGAAAAGCTCCAGTCACTGAAATTCATCTTTAAACTCTGCCTCTCCAAACCCTTCCTTTTTCTGAGTTGGGGATGGCTGGAGCTGCCCCTGGAAAAGTTCCTGAGCTCACATCCCCTCACAGCACGAAGAACAAGCACAATTAAGCAAGCAGGAAAGCCGCAAGCCGATGGCCGCCTCTCTCCTGGATCTCCGGCATCAGATTCCACCAGGGAAACTTTCCTGCTTACCCAAAGGAAAAGCGCTGCGGAGCCAGCCTGGCAAGGTGGGAGTGATGGGAGCTGCGATTTGCCGGCTAACAGGCTATTGATCCAGCCAGGTCTGGTGTCAATGAAAGAGAAGGCACTGAAGGCTGCCTGGGAAAGGAGCCCCCCAAGGTCTCGCCCAAAGGAAGCCTGGGAGAAGGGCTGGGCTCCCCCTGGGCATCCCCTCTTCCCTCTGGGGTAGCCCCTCCGTTGCCAGGGAAAGCTCCTTGCACGGCGGGGACTCAGCCATCCGACAGAGCTGGAAGTCCAGGAGCCCCCCAAGACCGGGACGGGAAAAGCAAATCAGACCAACAGAACCCGCACCGTCTCCGAGGCTGCAACTGCACACACACACACACCCTGTGGACCTACATAAGAGCTCCCCTATGTTTCCAAGGCTCTCTAAAATATCCTACCCCCTCAAAAGCCTCCCCCCTCCGCGAATCTCCGCAAAAGTCATTATATTGAGCGAAACTTTGGAAAGGTGAATTTAGGAGGCACAGGGTCCTTCTGCCTCCCAAGACGTCCTCTTTCCCTCCCGGGGAGCGGGACGCGGCCTAGAAGGCCTAGCCAAACCAGCGCTCCCGCGGAAGTGGACGTCTTCAGGGCAGCTCCTGCGCGGAGGGCCTCGTCCTGAAGGTTCACGCGTCAGCGCGTGTGGGCCGCGCCACTTTCCCCTCCTTTGCGTTCCCACATTAATCCGACCCAAGCAAGCGGGGCCTGCTCTGCTCGACAGTGGAGACACAGCTCCTAGGCAAAGGCGCCTCAGCAGCACCGCTGCCTATGAGGAGGGGAGACCAGCGGTCGGACCTACACCGCGCGGGGGGGGGAGAAGCTCGGGACCTGGAGTAAAGCTTGGCCAGGCGGCCCCGGCCCGAACGGAGCGGAGCGCGGCGGCGGCTTCCCCTACCTTCCTTGCCGGGCGTGGGCGCCTTCGCTTTCTCCCAGGACACCAGGGCCTTCTCGCGGGGCTCCCCGTCCAGGAGGGCTTTGTCTCCGGGAAGGTACCACGCGGCGGAGTGCTCGGCCATCAGAGACTCCAGGTCGATAGTGCTGACCGCGCCCTTGGCTCCGGCGCCCTCGCAACAGCTGCTCAGCTCGCCGCCGCCGTCGCCGTTCTGGGCCCCGCCCGAGCCTTCGGGACCCTGCTTGGCGCTCTTGAGGCCCAGCGGCTGATCCTCGGAGATGCTGAACTGCTGCCGCTGCAGCTGAATCTGCGCTTGCAGGATCTCCAGCGGGTGAATCTCCTCCTGCACCGGGCCGGGCGGGGCGGCGCCGTAGCTGTCGGGGCTGGAGGTAGCGGTGCTGCTGCCGGCATGCAGGCCCAGCTGCGCCAGGGCCGACGCCTTCTGTCCGTTCAGGAGCGGGTGGTCCACCGGGCGGGTGGGCGGCTGAAGCGGGCTGCGCCCGCCGGGACACCCTTTGGCGCCCTGGTTGTCGGAGCTGGAAGACACCTCCTCCTCGCTTTCCACCTCGCGGGAGAAGTCGCCGCCGCCGCCGCGCGGGGAGCACGATTCCGCCTGGTCCAGGGAGGGAAGAAGGTCGGCTTGCTCCGGAGGAGGCTGGAGGAGGAGGTCACCGCCGGCCTTGGCCCAGGCAGACGACGGGGAGCTCAACGCCTTGGGGGGCTCGTGAAGATGGGGGGTGCCGCCGCCGCTTCGCTCCCCGCCTTGTCCCGGGCTGCCGCTCTCTACGGCCGCCGTCGAGCCGTACTTCTCAAAGAAGCCGCCGGCGCCACCCGTCGCCCCGGCGACTGGGCTGACGTGGCCGCTGTCTCGTTTCCTACGTCCCCTGCCTCGTCCGCTTCCCGCTTTGGCGTCGGGGCCCGATCCAGGGGAGTAATTAGGGGAGAGGCTGCTTTCGCCCGCAGGAGCCGCGGCGACCGTGAGGGGAGGCTGCGGCCCTGCGCCGTTTGTCTCGGGAGGCTCTGCGGGGCTGAGCTTGCTCCGCTTGGCACCCTCCCCGCCGGCCCCACTGCCCACCGCCGCCGGCGCGCCCTTCTTGCCGAAGGTGACGTTGAGGTTGGGCGCACCCAGGCTGGCGATCATGTTCTGGCAGGCGGTGGAGAGCGCTGCCAGGCAGCTCTGCCCGAAGAGGCCGCTGCTCTCCTTGGGGCCTGCGCTCCCGGGCGGCGCCCCGACGCTGCCTTTGGGGAAGGTGCCCAGCGAGAGCGCCCCCAGCTTGCTGCTGGCCGGCGAGGGCCGGGGCTGCGACTGGGGAGGTGCAGAGCTCTGAAAGTCCGTCGGCGGCCCAAAGGACCCGGGCGAAGCGCTGTGCGGGGTGGGCTGGCGGCTGGGGGGCCCAAAAGGGAAGCTCGGCGTCTGCACTGCGAAGTCGGGGTGGCTCGGCCTCCGCTCCGACGGCGGGCTCAAGCCGAACTGGCCTTGCAGGCCGCCGGGCGAGGGCACATGTCCTTCGCCCCCCGAGGACATCCGCAGGGGCGGCGGCGGCGGCTCCTGCAACCCGCCGATTCCGGGTCGGAAGAGCAAATCGCCACCGCCCGGCGGAGGATGAGGCGGCGGGAACCAAGCGCCCTCCTGCGCCTCGAAAGCGGCTTCGCCAGGGTGTTGGTGCGGGGACTGGTGATGGCCGTGGCCGCCGGCAGGGTGAGGATGTTGGTGGTGCCCGACCTGGTGCAGGCTGGGCGGACGGAGGCGCTGAGGTTGGCCGCGGGTGGCCGCCATCTGCTTGATCATCAGTGCAGTGTTCTGGCGCTGCTGCAGAGCCGCCTGGGGATCCGGGCCCGGCGGCGGCGGAAAATTCTCGGGCACCGGCGGCGTGAAGTCCCCCGGCAGACCAGAATAGGCCGCGGAGGGCGACAGGTGGCTCTCCAAGGCGGCCGCCCCGTGCATGCCTGCCCCTCCACCGCCGCTCCACGAATCGAAGCGGGGCCTCGTGGGGAGGTTCGCGTAGGGGGACGCATCGAAGTGTTGCAGTCGCTGGTTGGGCGGCTGCTGGGGCTGGCTGTGGTGGTGATGGTGGGACACGTTGAACAGCGGCTCTCCCGGGCCGTAGGAATGCTGCGGCTGGTGCTGCAGGCCCCGGTTCTCCAGCCGGTGGATGGGATACTCGAACTGGCCGTGCTGCGCCTGCAAAATCGGGCCGCCGCTGTCCTGCAGATTCACATTGGCGGCGCTTCCTTCTGGACACTGCTGTGGCCGCGGCAGCGCCGGGGGGCAGGAATTCTGCCTGGCCAGGAGAGCCGGGGGCGGCGGCTGTTGTTGAACTAGGTGGTGCCTTCCGGAGCCCAGGCCCGGCTCCAGCCCCAGAGACATTTTGCGAGCGCCGCCGAACCGATCGAAGAAGACGCCGTGAGGGGACTGTTGGCTAGGCACCTTCCCCAGGGAGCCCGGCGCTCGGGACAAGGCCGCGGAGTGGCCAGCGAAGTTGCCGCCTGCCGGCGGAGCAGCCTGTCGTCCGGATCCGTACTGCGGCAACTGCCCCTCGGCCTCTGACGACGAGAAGACTGGCAAGTCGAAATGGCTCTCGCTGTTCGGGTAACTGTATTCCAGGGCATCCACCGCGGCCGCCCCTTGACCGGGCAGGCGCCTCTGCGAGTCCAGGCCGTGCGGTTCTGAGGAGGCGGTTCCCGGCAGGCCATGGAAGGAGGCAGCGCGATTAGGGGACTGGTCTAGCGGCAGGCACGGGGCCGGCACGCCGGGATTGTGAAGATGGTGCGGCGGCGGCGGCTGGAAGTCCTGGAGGGGTCCCGCCCTCTGCTGTCCGAAGCCATCCCCGCCCGTCTGGCCGTCCGCCAGATGCTGCTCGTAGCCGCCGTCCGCCGCGAACGTCTGCTGGCCGCCCGAATAGCCGAGGAGGCGCCCGCCGTGGAGGCAGGAGGCGCTGGGTTCGGCCCCGAAGCCACCCCCGAAGTGTGAGGGCGGTGGTTGGGTCTGGTGGTGCGCGCCCGGGCCAGCCGGCGGGCTGCCGAAGAATCCGTGGATCGGCTGGGGCTGGCCCAACTCCGGAGGGCCGCCGCGGGGGGCGTGGAAACCGCCGTAGCCTTCCCCGGACAAGGTCAGGTTCATGGCCAGCAGGGTGGAAGAGGGCTCGCCCAGGGCATTCACGGGCGCCGATTCGCCGCTGCCGCCGCCGCCACTTCCGCCGTGAAAGGGTGACGGCTTGAACTGGGGGCCCGCGCCCGGCCCAAAGCCGCCGCCCCGCTCGTCCGGCACCCCGCTCCTGCCTGAGCCGCCGCCGCCGCCGCCGCCGTGTGGGTCGAACGGATCCAGCGCAAACATCCCGCCGGTGACTGCGGCTCTGTCGCTCGAGTCCCGGCTGACTAGATCCTCAGCGAGACATCACGGCCGACCGGCCGGCCCAGAGAGTCCGCGCCGCCGGCGGGCGGGCAGGCAGGGAAGAGATCGGCCGCCGCCGCCGCCGCCGCCCGACCGACTCACATCTTGCGCCTCAGTTGCCGTCCGGCGCCGGAGTGGCGGCTGGGGGGACCCCGCCGGGCCTCGCCAGCCTTCCTGGGCTGCGCGACTGCTGCGCCGCTTCCCTGGCTGGCGGGCTGGCGGGCTGCTGGCTCTGCCGCGCTCTCGCCGCGCGCCGGGGAAGCAGCAACAAGTTTTGCATTTCAGCAATGCCGTCCAGCCATTAGAGCTGCGCCAATGAGCGGCCCGGCGGGGCGGGGCTCCCTGTTAAGGTGGCGCCGCCGCCGCCGTCGCCCTTCCCCCGCCGAGCGCTCGGCCCGGTTACTGGGAAGTCCCGAACGGGAAGGGGGAGGCCGCGGAAGTCGGCTGGCGTCCGACCCGAGCGCTGGGCTGCCGTGGTCGGTCAGAGCCTGCGGGGCCCGACGGCCGGCGCACCTCCTTAAGGAGCCCCGAGGGCGGCGGGGAGGCGAGTCAAGCGGTGTCGCTGCGTGGAAAACGTCCGCCTCCCCTCCGGCCCTGGCGCGGGAACCGCACTGAGCGTCCCGAGCCGCCACTGAGCCTGCGGGACTCGCTCTCTTCCTGCCGTCCCGTCCGGGCCATTCCGGCCTCCACAGTCAGCCCTGATCCCACCCCTCCGAGCTCCATAAATAAGGGGCTCAGGCAGCTTTGGGGGGGGCGCTCTGCCGGGTCAGGATGCCGAGCTGTGATTAAATATTGATTTTGTGTAATTAGTTTTCCTGCGCGTTCTTCCCCTTTGTGATGGCGCCGATCTGACCGAACTGGAAGAGAAGTCAGCAGAGGACAAGCGACGGGCAGGGCGGGAGAGGGGGCCGCCGCCGCCGCCCCGCCTCATCCCACCGCGCGGGTCCGAGGCGAGCGCTGCTTTTCTATCGCGTGCCTCCCGCCTTTCTCCCTGGAAGCGCCTCGGAGCGCGCGAGCCGACGGGAGTCCCGCTGGTCTGGTCGATGCGGTCCAGCAGCGGAGAAGGCTGTAAGGACGGTACGGCTGTGCGCAGGCAAGTGGTGCCGAGGCCGAAAGCAACGCAGCCGTCCCGGTGGCCTCTTTGCTTGGCTGCTCTTTCCCAGGGCTGTCGGTAGGTCCTGAGAAGGCCGCCGCCATGAAGGAGAGAGCCGGCCAGTCGGAGAACCTGGGGTTGGTTACCGGAGATCTGCACGGGAAAGGGGGGGGGGGCATAGAGAACTGGAAAGGAGAACAAGGATGGGGGGTTGCAGGAGGAGAAGACATTAGATGTTTTACTGAACTGGGAGATTGGCGGCAAATAAATGATAAGATAGATGATAGGTAGGTAGGTAGGCAGGCAGATAAATGGGAGACAGACAGACAGACAGACAGAAGAGACTTAGGCCTTCCTACATATGGAATTACTTTTTCCAAGATCAAAAGACTGGTTTTTCAATTGCAGGAATGTGCTAGAGTCTAAGGAGGCAGAAGTCTTCAGCAGGTAAATGGTTAAAATCTTGTCAATTTCAGGGAGCAAGACCAAACTGGTGGGAGGTATTAATCAACTAATTAAGGTCACAGACTGTCATCACTAAGAGAAAAGCTGCTCAGAAAGTGATGATCAAAAAGCCGGACCATATTTGATTTGAAAGCTCTGCCTGCTGGATAGAGAATATGAGGACAATAAGAAGGATCTGTTCTCCTTTTGGCAAAGTCTGGTAACCAAGGTTAGGAAAAGCCTTTGGGCCAGTATTGCTCCCAGCTCCTAAAGCTGTCCTAAGGTCCTCTGGCTGGAGGTCTCTCTGCCTGCCTGCTCTTGCTGCAAAGTATTGCCTCTTTCCACACAGCACACAGAGCCTTTGTTCCCCAAACCTAGCCAGCTCATTTCCTATAGTACGCAAAGCCACAAGCTGTGCTTTATGGCTGGACTGTCTGGTTTCACGCATCCTATTGAGTCAAGGGCTATCCAAATACATGGCTGAGCAACCAGGGGATCCCCACTGCTGAGTTTCGTGCATCAGTTTTAAACACTGTAAAGAATATAGGGCAGAATAATTGTGAAAGGCGTCAATTAAAAGTAATAGGAAGCTCAGAAGTACCAGCCTTCCAAGCACAGAGCAGTAGGCAGGGATTTCAGGAGTGCCTGGAACTTGGATGTGGGCTTTCCCCTTGCCCTTTTCCTCCTATGTGTCTCTGCCTGGTTTTATGGTTCTGATTTTGCATTGATTCATTACTTGGTTGTTAATAAAAACTAATGGACGGGCTTACTTTCCATTTCACATCAAGTGGCCCTTGTGGTTTTTGCTTGCTGGGGTGCTCTAAGAATCTGCATCTCCCTCTTTCTTTGGAAGAGACCTGCGTACTTCCCACCCTGCGTGGTGTCATCCAGTGCAAATATTGTGAGAGGCGCTTTGTCCCCGGAAAACACCAGCAACATAAAATAGCTGATTATGGAAGACATGTTGGGAAGGCTCTGAGTCCAATCACTACCCAGGGAAAGGGGCTTCCTGGGACCTCCATGTGGGTAGGGACCAGTCTTCTGAAGAAAAGGGCCAATGGACAAGGGCACAGAGAAGTGATCCATGGCTGAGGACGTGTCCTCTCACTGCTGGTTGGGACCCCTGTGACATCTAGGAGAAACCTAGAACTGGCTTAACCCTCCAGGTTCACACCAGAGGCAGTTATGAGCTGCCTGAATGGAAAACAGGTTCTTGAAAGACTTCCTGGAACATTTGCTCACTGGCATCCCAGAGAAGTTCAGCTATTTGCAGGGAGGAAGGAATTTAGCAAGAAGCACACACAAAGGAGAGAAAAGCCAGACAGGAAAGAAAGAATACATGAAAAAGTTGCCCCGTGTCCAGTTCAGCCTATAAATCCAGTTGGATAGCATAGCTGTTCTTCAAAAGGAAAGAAGAGGCAGCAGCTTTGTTTAAGGAGTCTCCTCTGCTCTCGCTTTCAGCAATAATGGCCCTTTCAGCTTAGCATCCTGCTATATGGTATTGTGGTCTGTTTGCCCTGGGTTTATAAAATGCAAAACTACAAAAACTACAAAATCCAAAAAACAAAAAGGCATGTTTCACAAAATGATTGCCTCCTTCTCATAATAAATTATTCTTCAAGTCTCAAATATGCCGCACTTTTTTTATACTGGTGCAGTGGGGCACAGCGAACAGCCCTTGAAAAGCTGCAGCTGATGTTGGGTCACTGTCCCCATTGAGGGTAACGACGGAAGGACTCCTTCAAGGTGGAAGTCTCATTGATGCAGAGTTGGCTTTGCACAACCCAAAGGGCAGGCATAACAAGAAGAGCCGAGGTGGCGCAGCAGTTAGGGTGCAGTACTGCAGGCCACTTTAGCTGACTGTGTTCAGCAGGTCAGCGGTTCAAATCTCACCGGCTCCAGGTTGACTCAGCCTTCCATCCTTCCGGGGTAGGTAAAATGAGGACCCAGATTGTTGGGGGCAATGTAAATATACATACACATTGCTTACTGATGTACACCGCTTAGAGAGTGCTCGCACTTAAAGCGGTATATAAGTCTCATAAATAAATAAATAAATAAGAAGGGCCTCAACCCAATCAAGACAAGTTCTAGGGTCAGTTCCAGATAAAAAGATCATGTCCTGATCTCATTCAGTGAGTTTTGACTGGTCTGGCTTCTGTTCTGCTCCTACTGGGTGTACACCCATTCCTATGTTGACTGACAGTTGTGCATTTCACATAGTTATTGCACAAAGGCAGATGAGGAATCCAAGCCATCAGATTGCCTGAAATGGCTTTGTGTCCCCTGTTCACAGAGCAGGTGCCAATGTAGGTAGTCCTTCACTTACAACCCCAATTTTTGATCATTTTTGAAAATTGATACAAGGGAAAGTGCTGGGGTGGATGGAGGTGGGGGAGATCAGGGTCAGGTAAGTAAAAGTTGCCAAGGTGGTGTGTGTTACATGCTTTGAAGTAGGCTTTTAAGCAGAAATAGGGGTGAGGATTTCCCAGATGCTGCTGAATTACAAATCCCATTGGTCCCAGAAAGCATAGCCAACAGGGATGCTGGGAAATGTATTTCAGCAAATATGGATTCCTTGTTGCTGGCTGTAAACAAGATTTTTCCCCCTGCAGGCATCACTGGAGTGAGAGTAGCAACAAGTGGAAAATGATTGGCTGACTGTGGACTCTACAGTAAACCTGAACTAAAGAGCCCAACAGTTAACTGGCCTGCCATGGAGCCTTTGGTGTCTTCTCTTGGGCCCCTTCTCTGTGGAGATAGATGGTCCTTGGACTCATTTGTTGAATTTTCAAATGACTGCCCCCCAAACTCACAAATGCAAAGGTTATCTCTTTTAGGCTCATCAGCATACACCATGGAAGACCTCTTGTTCTTGACTTTTTCTCTAACGGGTTCATAGAAGCTCTGCCAAAGTGTTGTAAAGCAAGTGGGAGGCCACCAGGAAGGAGTGCTGGCAGCCCTGGTTCCAGGAGAAGCCCCGAGCATGAATGTGTCTTTTTCAGCCACTTGGGAATACCGACCTTCTGCCTCAGATGCAGCCCCCGATGCTGATTTGAACCCACAGGAAAGGCAAAACAGACTTTCCAAACACGCCTGCCTTTTTAGCCCCAGAAAAGTGGCGGAAAGGAAGCAGTCATAATTCTCCATGTGCAGTACATATCCTCAGCCTCTCTGCAAACACGCCAGAAGGAAATTACGCACAATCGAGTGGCTTTGCTGCGTTTGATTAAGGAAGGGCCTGGAGGCAAGCAAGACCAGAGAATCAGACACGGGTGGAGTTGGGGAGTTCTCGCGTCCTTCACCGCCAACTGCTGGCCACAGGAGGGAGAGGCCTCCTTCTTTGCTTCAAAGGGCCTGAGCCGAAAAGGGGGCTTCGCAGGGACCCTGGAATCCTCAGGCTCTTGTGCTCCTCTTTGGTTAAGTTGGACAACAAAGGGGCCCTTGCTCCCATTTGGATGTTTTGATGCAAAAACTGGGAACAAGATATTCAGCATTCGTCTGAGGGGATGCAGAAGGCCAGGATGCTGCCGAGAATTTGCATTTGGTTAGAATACATTGATTCCAACCTTTGGGCAATGTTGGTGTTATTTCTCAATCAGTAGATCCATTAAATGAGACAATTTGACCTACTATGTTCTTGACTTTCATCTTTCTTGAACAGGCTGCAGGACTAACCCCCAGGTTAAAACTGAGTACAACCCTTGGTTTAAGCAATAGACAGCTGAATGTTCATAAAAAGCACCTGTACAATTTCATGTAGCCACCTAATAATTGCCATTACCTAACCTGCTGGATTGGGAGATGTACAACATTTAACATTTTAGAAAAAAAGGGGAAAGAGTTGGGACATTTCAGGGTGGTGATATTTGTCCTGAGTAAACTGCAGAAGAGTGACTTTTGAATTTAAAGGCCTACATTGGGCTTGGGAAGCCTACTGATCCATAGGGGTTTATGGGAGGGCCACGCCTTTCTTCACAACTGGACTGTGCTGATCACTTGCACTTACAGGCTGACTTCAACCCGTGCAGCCCTGTGTGCCTGCCGCTGCAGAGTCGGTGCTGCATCTGCTATCACAACCAAGGAGAAACGTCGATGCAGATGTTCAAAACACCCACCAGTCTTAGTACATTTGGCAAACGTGTCAGCAAGGACCTTTGCTTTTTCTTCCCCCAAGAAAGCAGCAAGTGGATAATTTTGAAAAAAAAAAAAGGAAAGCAAATGCTACTCTCCTGAATCCAGTTTCAAAACAATGTATGTCCGTGATTTTAATTGTGCCCTTTCTGTACCCTTTTTAGGCTGATTTCAAACATTTAACACCCTGAGCGATAGAGATGCACAGGAGACCCATGTAGCTTAAGACTTGCACAGTCCCTGGAGCACCGATGCTTGTGAGATCCCAACCAGCAAGAAAAGCAGCAGCTGTGGCCCTTCTTCCCTTTTCACTTGCTGAGCTCTTCAACTTTTGGCGTTAGCCCATATATCTGTTCATTTCATTCATGCTTTTGATTAAATCTGTACAGTGTTGCCTTCTGTTCTTTTTCATAATTAGTGTCCTGGGTTACAGAATTTTAAGATTGCCTGTGGTTTTAAACAGATGGCCTTTTAGAGAATTTTTACTACACGTTTTTTTCAAT